ACTTGAAATTGGATATTGACTACATGATAACACAAAAGGTGCACAAAAATACAGAAAAAAAATAAAATATTTCGAGAGGGCGGGAAGTGAGGGTATATAGGACCCTAGTTAATTTAAGGTGTGTCACGCGAATCTCGGTTATAGTTTAGGGTGGTACTTGTGTCTTATCACAACTTTATTATGTAAATTAAGAAAATTAAAGGAACATGGAACAAGTACCCCTTGAACTATACCCAAAAATTTACAACGACACACCTAAATTTAACTAAGATCCTATTATCCCCCTAAACTCATTTTTTTTTACTCCTTTTGTGTTGATGTGACATAGAGAGTATATTCACTCTCTTGGAAGCAAGTGAGAGCAAAAAAAATATGAAAAAATCTGATCAATATTGGACACGTGTCCTTTTTTAATTGGACATTGTAGAATAAGTTATATATATATGATTATTTTCATTTTTTTGGTATAAAATATGTATCCCCTCTCCACTTTAATTTTTTTATTTTTTCTTTCATTGATTTATTATCTTTTCAATTTTAATTATTTCTAAAAAAATGTGTTTTTTTTATTGATTTTCTTTTTAAAATAATAATAATTTTTTAAAATTAAAATGTCCTTTAATTTAAACATTTTTTTTAATGGTTTATTTGATTTCCTTCACTTATTTTAATATATGTCCGAAATTAATTTATTTGAAATACAAAATATTTGGATATAAATTTAAAACCAAATTAGAAGTAATTAAAGACAAACAAAATAAATAGAAAAATAATAATGAATGAAAGTAAAATAAAAAGTACAAGACAAAAAGAAGTTTAAAAAATTACACGTATTAACTTAGTTTAATTTATACACATGGTGGCACATGTATATCACTACTGATACTTGAATTGGATCTTGGCTCCACGTTAGCATAAAGAGGGCACAAAACTATAGATTAAATGAGTTCAAGGGGTAATAGAATAACAATTAATCTTAGGTGTGTCCCTCAAATTTTAGGTATAGTTATAGGAGGTGTACTTGTGTTTTATCCCAAAATTATATAATAAAAACAATAAAATTATCAAGTGAAATAATGTGGAGTTCTATCAATAATTAAAAAGGCCTAGGATAATGATTTCCCTAATTATGAAAGAAATTTTCAACGTATTAATTATAATAACGTTGAACTTATTATAAAGAAAGCTCAGAATAATATAATACAATAATAAGAAGAAGAAGACAAGAAGTATAAGATGGAAGAGAGAACTTTTCTTATTCAAGTGTATCTTCCAAATGGTGAGTGATATCTCTATTTATAGTGTTGATATCACTCCCAAAAGTCATCTAACTAGTAGATACATAGTTATCCAAGAAGTTCTTATCACCTTGGAAGCACATATACATGAATCCAATTTGTTTGGATAAATCTAATGGATAATCCACATATATAATACAATGGATTTATAACACTCCCCCTTGGATGTCCATAGATAATGTGTCTCGTTAAAACCTTACTAGGAAAAACCAGTGGAAAAAAGTCTAGTGAAGGAAAAAGAGTACACACATCTCATAATACATTTTGAATGTTGCCTCGTTAAAAACCTTACCAGGAAAACCCAACTTGGGACAAAACCATAGTTAAGGAAAAGAGTACAACGCGTATTTCACTCCCCCTAATGAAAGCTTCACTTGATATCTCAGAGACGACGCATTTCAATCTTGTATCTCAACTTCTCAAGCGTTGGTGTTGGCAATGTCTTAGTGAATAAATTAGCAAGATTATCACTTGAACGGATTTGTTGAACTTCTATCTCACCATTTTGTTGAAGATCATGAGTGAAAAAAAAACTTTGGTGAAATATGCTTTGTCCGGTCTCCTTTGATGTATCATCCTTCTCTTGAGGTCGAAATGGATCTGTTTTGATGTCAAGCGATCTTACCACCATTGGGGTACTTAATGGATGTGATTTATCCATGTAAAAACGCTTTAATATCTTTTTTATGTATGTTGATTGATGGACAAGTATTCCATTTGGCAAATTCTCAATCTGTGGGCCAAGACAAAATTGTCTTGTCGAGATCTTTCATTTCAAATTCCCTTTTTAGACACTCCACAACTTCTAACAACTCTTTACGAATCCCAATGATGTTCAAATCATCAACATACACAGCAATTATAACAAATTCAGATTTCGACCATTTAATGAAAATGCAGGGACAAATTGGATCATTTTTGTACCCTTTCTTTAGCGAATATTCACTCAGACGATTGTACCACATCCTCCCTGACTGTTTCAATCCATATAAAGATTTCTGAAGCTTTATTGATTAAGTCTCTCTTGAATCTTTGTATGCCTGGCACTTTGAATGCTTCAGGAATTTTCATAAAAATGTCCTGGTCCAATGAGCCATATAGATAGGATGTGACAACGTCCATTAGACACATTTCAAGCTTTTCATGAACTGCCAGATTTATGAGATATTTGAAGGTGATTGCATCTACATGTAATCAATGACAGGTCTTCGAGAAAAACCTTGAGCAACAAGTCAGGCTTCATATCTCACGGCTTCACCTTTTTCTTTTTTTATTCGCACAAAAACCCATTGGTACCCCCACTGGCTTGATACCTTCAGGTATTAGGATTATTGGTCCGAAAACTTCACGTTCTTTCTAGTGAAGTCAATTCTGCTTGAATTGCGTCCTTCTATTTTGGCCAATCATTTATCTGTCTACATTGGTCAACAGATTTTGGCTCAAAATCTTCATCTTGTTGCATTATTTCAACAGCAACATTATAGACAAATATGTTGTCAATCACAACATTATTTCGGTTCTTCCTCTTTCTCGTCGAGACATAATTCATTGAAATTTCTTCATTCTCATTATTTTCAGAAATTTGAACCTCCTCGGAGGTTTCATCATGTGTTATGACTTGGGTCTCTTCTTGAGAAATTTCTTTCACCTCGTGATCAGCTTGATCATTCATTACTTTTCTCTTTCGAGGATTTTTATCCTTGAAACCAATTGGTCTACCATGCTTCAAATGTGGTCTAGACTCATTTTTCTTAACAATTTGTCCCATCGGGACATCAACTCAATTGAACTGGAGCATTAGCAGCTGGAATGTGTGATCTAGTAATCCTTGGAAGATTAGTAAAAGCATCTGGCAATTGATTCGCAATATTCTGTAAATAAATTATTTTTTGAACTTCTTGCTCACATTGATTTGTTCGAGGATCTAGATGAGATAGTGATGATAAATTCCAATCTATCTCTTTTCCCAACTGCTTATGTTTTCCCCCTAAAGTTGGGTATACTGATTCATTAAAATGACAATCAACAAATCTTGCTTTAAATAAATCTGCAGTCATAGGCTCCAAATATTTTATGATTGAAGGAGATTCATACCCAACATATATCCCCAACCTTCTTTGGGGCCCCATTTTTGTGCGTTCTGGTGGAGCAATTAGAACATATACCGCACATCCAAAAATTCTAAGATGGGAAATATTTGGCTCTTGACCAAAAGCCAATTGTAATGGGGAGAATTCATGACAATTGGTCGGCCTTATGCGCACACGTGCTGCTGCATGCAAAATAGCATGCCCCCACATAGACACCGACAACTTTGTTCTCATTAGCAATGGCCTAGCTATCAATTGCAGACGTTTAATCAATTATTCTGCTAGACCGTTCTAAGTATGAACATGAGCAACTGGATGTTCAACTATTATTCCAGTAGACATACAATAATCATTATATGCCTGAGATGTAAACTCTCCAGCATTATCTAGACGGATTATCTTTATTGTATAGTCTAGGAATTGTGCTTTTAATCCTATTATTTGAGCCAACAATAGCGCCAAAACCATGTTGCGAGTTGATAATAAGCACACATGTGACCATCTTGTTGAATCATCTATCAAGACCATATAATATTTAAAGGGTCCACATGCAGGTTGAATTGGTCCACATATATCACCCTGTATACGTTCCAGAAACGCAGGGGATTTAATTCCAACCTTGACTGTTGATGGTTTAATGATCAACTTTCCTTGAGAACAAGCAGCACAAGAGAATTCCTTTGACTGGAGGATATTTGGGATCTTTAAGGTGTGCCCATGTGAATTCTCAATTATTTTGAGCATCATATTAAAACTGGGATGACCCAACCGGTCATGCCAAATGATAAAATCATTAAAATTAGCAAACCTTTTGTTTACTACGGCACGTGATTCAACTGTACTTATACTTGTACAGTACAACCCAGAAGAAAGTACAGGTAATTTTTCATGCACAATTTTCTTCTTTGTATTAATTGTAGTAATATAAAGGTACTCAACTTTTCCTTTATTAGCAGTCTCAACATGATAGTCATTTTGACGAATAACTTTGAAACTTAACAAGTTTCTTTGAGACTTACTACAATATAATGCATTGTCAATATAATACAGAGAATGTGAACAACTGAAATGATAATTCTTATTTTTATCTTCATCTCTTATGTACAAGAGAAGTCAACACAAGCTGCAATAGCTGCTATTATACATGCTCGCAGATCAACGAGCTAAAGGGGCGGAAATTGTAGGTGCAACAAAGAGGGCTATTTTACGCCTTACCTAAATGAGTAAATAAAAAAATGTGGAAAAATACCAGGCTTCTTGACATAAGTACCTGATTAGGTCCATCCTCAAGAACAAACCTACTTTCACCTAATAAGCATAGATGTTCCACCCACAACAATAGTCAACTATAAGCTACTTTCTTTTTCTTTTTTTTCTTTTTAATAGCCAGTGATGTCCAGGCCAAATTGCGTGCACTTTGACTATTCCACCGGGTAACTAAGTACTCTTGAAGAAGCATGTTATGTCAAAATTATGGAAAATTTAACCATTCATGTTAATGCATTGCAGTTAATGGATACACATAATACAGACCAAGCTCGTGATCTGGACATAATACAGGATTTAAGGTTCCTAGAAAATGAATTTCAACTACTAAGAAAAATAAAATTACCTCAGAAGATGATCATGATAAGACATCTTCAAGCAATGCAGTTGTTTCTCAAGGTTATGGCCCACAAGTACTCTACCAATTGGCTCTCCGCTGTAAAGAATCTGCTGAATTCTCTCTCGGACTTCATTCAAAGGCATGGCATCTTGTAGATTATTTTCTGATATACCAATAATTTCATACCTGGCACACCATGTTGAAATAATAAAAGAATAGTGGATCTTGTACAGCTGTAAAAATCTGTTATAACAGAATTGATAACAGTAATATTAGTTAGTTAGTGAACTAATCTGTATTAGCTATAAATAGAGGTAGTTAGCTAGATATTTTCTCAATTCATTCAGTTGTAAAAGGATCAGCAATTATCAATACAAAGCTATCAGTTTATTTACTCTCAAAGCTCCGTTCTAGATCTTAAGGTTCATCAGAAATGGTGGAATTCAACACACCATGATAAGGAAGTATGAAAAGGTGTGATACCAAAAGCGTCAGCTTACACTATAAATAGATATGTTTATTTGCCAGAACATACCTATAATCAGCCACAGGAGTCGGAGGTAGAATATAAGTCTGAAAAATAATATTCTCATCTTCGTCAACTAGGCATACCCTTGCGCAAAGTTCTTGTGACCAATCACCTCCAACCATTACACAACATATGGCGACTACTTCCTGACTTCTTATGTTGATCATTTCGTTTGCTGAACGATGAATCTCCACTGTCTCCTGCAACAATTATACATACACACTCCAGCAACTAAACATACATCTGGAGTATCCTAAGTGTAACTGATTCTTGCGAATGCATCGAGGAAAGAAATTCATCAACTCACAATGGGTTGAGGAGTGGTAAGATGACATGTTTCCTTATGCTCGTTGAGAGAGTCCACGCTGCTACAGATTTTCAGACACAAAATGCAGTCTCTTTCAGCAAAGATGCTTGAACAATTCACTTTGGCCAATGGACCTAAATGTTAAAGTAAAAAAAGAAAACTTAGAGATCATTTGCACCTAAAGAACATTCATTGTCTAAGCACAACAACTTACCAAAAATGTGCTCCCTTAGTGATTCAAATGATTTGCAATGTTTGTTACACACACCGCATTTAGGGTCATGAACCGAATGATGAGATGTTAGCATATGTTCAATAATATGCTCCTTCTTCTTGCACTGCTTGTAACAAGCTGGACATTTGTGTCTGACATCACATAAGCAAATGAAATCAAAATTCTACACCCCCACATGTAGAACACCTTAGTTTAGTTGTTGCAAGATTGTGTTTTTACTCCTTCCCTCCACAAACAAATGAAAAATTTAGAGTATAAGGGCTCGTTTGGTTAGGAACAAGTTATCTCAAATTAGCTATCCCACTCTCAAATGAAAAATAAAAATAACACTGCAATTAGAAGCAGCAGAGCTAGATGGAGGTTCGTGGCTCCGCCTCTGAAGTACAATCCCAGGATATGTTATCTTATCTGAAATTATCAACCAAACATGGGATAGACTCATCCTAAAATTAATCCCGGGATTAGTTATCCCTCTTACCAAACTAGCAATACATCTAATTTTTCAGTGGGAATTGGGTTCTTGATTCCTTTTCTAAAAATAAAACTTTAAAAAACCTTCAAAATCCCAAGTTTTAACCATCAAAGTCATTTTATAAGTGTGTGAAAAAAGTCCCAAACAAGAAATTGATAAACAAAAACCAAAATCCTTGAAGGAAAAAGCTCCACATTACCTTGTATTGGAGAGGGGTTGCAGAGGAATTTGTGAGGGTTCCACTTCCATATACTGATATCCAATGAATCTGATATTTGAATTAAAACAAGAAAAATTGGTTTCTTAGCCAACACCATATATACTACAACAACAACAAAGCCACTATAATTCCACAAAATAAGGTTTGAGAGGACAGAACGTACGCAAATAAGGTCTATAGGATAAAATATAAGCAAAACTTATCATACTTAATTTTGCTCTTCATTGAACCTTTGGTCCTACTATACTTGGAAAGATAAAATTTCTAAAAGAAATTTGATAAAATGTTTATTGGGTCAAAACTTGATCACTCGGTCACACTTATTATAGGCAAAGTGATTTTCTTTTCTGATCATTACATGCATCACCATTTATATACAAGGTTGCATCTGATTTTTGACTAATTAACAAAAGACACATATTAATATGATTTTGTATCCCGAGAAAAATTTAATACTCCCTCTGTACCTAATTACATGTTCACTTTTGAATTGATACACATATTAAGAAAGCAATGATTGACATAGTAAGTTTATCATTTTACCCCTATTAATTATGAAGTGAATGAATTAAAAACTTAAGATTTTCAAAAAGTTCTTCATTTTTCAAAGTAATTAATTGAGGGTATAACAAGTAAAAAAAATTATTCTTTCTTGATTTGTCAAAATGGACAAGTAATTAGGGACAACTAAAAAAGAAAAAGCAGACAAGTAATAAGGGACAGAGGAAGTAGCATTTATGTAAGGAATAAGACACAAGTACCCCCTATACTATGACCAAAGTTCAGAGACACACATTAACTAAACTAAGGTTCTAGTATTACCATCACGAACCCATTTTTTTGTAACTTTGTACACCTTTTTGGCTTACGTGGCATCCAAGCATCTCCCATGCGCCTCAACTACGTGGAGTCACGAAGTATGCCACGTAAGCCAAAAGGTGTATAAAATAACAAAAATAAATGAATTCAGGGGTAATAGGACTTTAGTTTAGTTAAGGTGTGTCTCTGAAATTTTGATTATGGACTAGGGGTACTTGTGCCTTATCCCTTATTGTATTATTGAAAATTTAATTTATATTTACTCAAAATATTTTTTTGTCCCATTTAAATCTAAGTTTTATTTGTCTCTTAATGATATTAAGACTTTGTTCAAAATCTTAATGATTAACACATTTAAATTAAATAAGTGTTAAAATCCTAATGTAAGCAAATGCTCTCAATGGCCTAAAGAATGAACGATTTAGGTTAACACTTTGATTAAATCTAAGCAATACAATTATTTAATAGGTATTTTGTATGAATAATTTTCACCATCACTCTAACCACGCCTATCAACCATCTTTGCCATCACAATTACCATCATCATCACCAACTACCAGCCATCCTTGCCATCAAAACCACCGTTGGAAACCATATTATTGTCAACTAACATTATTAGTCACTACCACACTTATCATCACTATTGGTCACTATCACCACTGCGACCAATCCCTATATACCATGCACCAGTCACCTACATTATCACAACTAGCATCATCATCAACTACTAACAGCAATCAATTCTACCATCATAGTCACCATCACTAATACCAACCGTCATTATCATGTGAGTCACCACACCACTCACTATTTTCACCATCATAATTATCACCACCACAGCTACTAGCCACTAACGCCAATCATCACAACCACCACAACTATGAATAATCTACATCATCACTAGCGAACGTATATATTTTTATATAAATTAATAATTTTATTATATTATATTTATATATTTTTTCAAATATTTAACTACTTTTTTATCTAAATTGTATATTTATTATCATTATCATTAAAAATAAATAAAGACAACTTATTAAGGTGTTGAAGACAAATGATTTTAGGGAAACTTACAAAATTTCATACATTTGAGGGCTAATTACATCCTATCCCAGAAGCTTCCCCAATAACAAAAATTCTGGATATTTCATTGCTCTTGGATAGATTCATTGGTTGTCTAATACATTACAAAAGATACATTACTTAATGGGAGGTATATATCCGAGAGGGGATAGGAATGTATCCGATAGGGGATAGGTATAATTAGTGATATCTCTTGACTGATATTAGGATATCGCTTGATTGATCTTCCATATCTTAATGATTAGGTGAAGATCACAATCCTTTAGTAGTTGATTCTTTCCTTATTTGTAGTCTGCTCTCTTGTATAAATACACATACAGATTAATAAAATAATACACTTCTCTCTTTGAGATTTTGTGTCTTTCCCGATGTCATTAACAATGGTTTCAACCAATGCCTCTAGTGAGAACACCTCAATCACACCTTCTCTTGTATTTGTACCAAATTAATACGGTCTTTACGCCACTACTATTGTGATGTGAGCGGTTCAAATTGATTGAATCTTTCACAATCATCCTGGTCGAAACTTGTATGCAGCACCTGTACGGAGCATAAAGGCTTGGAACTCTTTTCTTATCCTAAATATCAACAATAAAAACTACAAATCATGGAGATACCAGTGGGAAACCATCCCCACTGCATATGATTTTCTCCATTTTATTGAACAACCACCAAGTTCAACGGTCACACCTTTTCATCAACGACAAGACCATCTTATTCGGAGTGTCATTATTTTCTCTTTATCTTCTGATATTGTTCCTTTAGTCATTGATGTCAAATCTTTTTATGCTCTCTGGCAAAATCTGACGACAGCCTATGAGAAGCCATTGCGTGCTTGTGTCACAAGTCTTAGAGAGTCTCTAAGCAACTTGAAAAATGGTAACCTTTCTATTACTTCATATCTGCAGAAGATCTAATAAATCTACAACTCTTTAGTCTTTGTTGGCATTCAAATTTCAATGGATGAGCTCTTCCTTCATGCTCTTCATAGACTTCAAGCCAAATATATGTTACTATCACTGCAGCTCTATGTGCTTTAGAAATTCCAGTGACATTTGAAGAGCTTCATAAGAAGCTTCTTGATTTTGAGCAGAATCTCATTCGTTCATCTTTTTCTAGCACAGTTTCAGTTACAACAAATTTAGTTGTTAAACCAACACTTCACAACAATCGCTCTCGGTCCAATCATGCTTCACATCAAGGAAACAACTTGAATCCTACGAATAGACATGCTTTTAAAAAATTTAGTGCTCAACTTACTGGTCAAAACACCAACAAGAACCGTCCTCGTGTTACTTGCCAACTTTGTGACAAGTCTGATCATCACGTGAAATAGTGTCGAAAATTATTAGCAATTCTCTCTCTAATAAATGGATTTGGATTAGATAGACATACAAGAAATAATGCTCCATCTCAAACACAATAGTCAGGTGCTAACTATGCAACTCGCAACACTAGCAATGATGGAAATTATCTTATTGATTCTGATGCCTAGCATCACGTCACACAGGATCTCAACAATCTTTCCATTCACTCAGATTATGATGGCACTGAAGACATTATGCTCGGTGATGGTAAACAACACAAAATCACTCATACAAGATTTGCTTCTTTACCTTCATCTTCTCGACCTTTAACTTTATCCAATGTCTTATTTGTGCCTAAGATGAAAAAGAACCTTATTTATGTTCATCAATTTTGTAATGATAATTTTTCTGTCACGTTCTCACCTTATTCGTTTGTTGTGAAAACTTTTGCACCGGACACCTCTACTAGCAGGAAACCTAAAAACAGTGTGTATCCATGACCTTCATCTCTTTGATGGCCAACCTCTCCTCAAACCCTCACCACAACCGCAAGTGCTTCCAATTGTCATCGACGCCTCGGTCACCCGTCCTCTCCCGCTCTTTGTCAAGTTTCCAAGCTTTTAGCTATTTTATCTTCTTTAGAAAAATCCTTCTTTTGCAGTTCCTGTAGATGCAGTAAAATGCATGAGTTTTCTATTTACAACTCTACAATAAAGAGCAATGCTGCTTTGGAATACTTTTTTTTTTGGATGTTTGGGGTCCTTCACCAGAAATTTCAATAGATGATTTTCAATATTATTTAATATTTGTTGATCATTACACGTAATACATCTGGTTCTTTCCCATAAAACGAAAATCTAATGTTTCCATTATATTTCCCAAATTTAAGAAAGTTGTAGAAAAGCTCTTTCAAAAGCTCATCATCTCATTTTATTCGGACAATTATGAAAAATTCATCCATCTTCGGTCATTCTTTGAAGACAATGGGATTTCTCACCTTCTCACTCCTCCACATGCCCTGAACATAATGCAACCACCGAACATCGTCATCTTCATATTGTTGAAACGGGTATCACCCTATTACACAATGCGAATCTCCCTTTAAAATTTTGGTCATATACCATTACTACCGCAACCTACTTGATTAATCATTTACCTACCAAACTTTTAGAGAATCAGTCTCCCTATTTTCGACTGTATGAAAAACTACCAAACTATTTCAAGTTTGGGGTCTTTGGTTGTTTGTGTTACCCATGGTTAAGACCTTATAACCAAAATAAATTGCAACCTTGTTTCAGCCCATGTATTTTTCTTGGATACTCACAAAATCAAAGTGCTTATCTTTGTTTTGATCCTATGAAGTCTAGGTATCCAGACACATGGACTTTGTAGAGCATCATTTTCCATACTAATCTAAGGAAATTAAGACCAATCGACATGAGTCTAACACTGTTGATATGTGGGTTCCCTCTCATCACATTATTCCTTTTACATCAAGCTCATCCGGTAACTCTTCCTATGTTATATATCTACAATATCGAATTTAGGAAGTACCTCCCATGAGGCCGCCACCAGCAATCATTCTTCATCATATGAGTGTGAGAACTCTATCACATCTTTCCCAAGTGTGTCTTCCTCCACATCATCTTCTACCTCTGCCTCATCCTTATTATCAGTACCAACACATTCATACCTTCTTCTGCTCCTATACCAAATCATTCCATAGTTATCTGTTCTAAAACAATATTAGTAAGTCAATTCAAAGATTTAGTCTCACTGCTACTTTATCTCCTAAAGCTAAATCATCCCCTACTGCA